TTAAGAGCAACTGCTTGCAGGGCAGAGATATGACGCAAAAATTTTCCAAAAAGGATCCAAGGTTCTAGTGGAGGAAGAGATTAAGAAAGCATGCCTTGTATCCATCTTTAACCTCATATGAACCAGAGGCATTACCTTCCCAGCATAAATGTTTCGGGATATTAGTAAGGGATATAGGGATTTTTGGATAGATTCAACCGCAGCAGAGGAATAAAGTTCATGAATTAAAGAAGCATTCCACTGCAGGGGGCTCCAGTTAGAAGGAACATACACTAATAGGTCAGCAAACATTGAAGAAAATTTGCGTTGCAGAAATCTTCCTGCATGGGCCACCATAAGGGGTAGCTGAGTGGGATTGAGGAGCCACCACCAACTCTCCATTTAGCCTATTAAAGAGCGAGAGTTACAGACGAGGGTCGTTGTGGGTGAGACGCCGACCAGAAGAGCGGCCACCGACTCAGGATCAGGCAAGAGTGAAGCACGAGATACATGCAGCACCATAGCAGCGGCGCCTGGGAATACTCCCTTTTTTTTAATTTTTTTCCGTCCAAGCCCGGAATACTTAATTTGTTAACATATACTTATGTTTTTTCCGAAAACGGAGAATGTTGAAAAGATGAAAAGACCAAACTATCCCTGCCTGGAGTCCACAACCTCGTATCAGATACAGAAAAGGAGAATCCACTTGGAAGGCTCGTCTTCTTACGACGGAGACCCTTCGACAGAGGCACTGCGACACCAGGAGCCATTCCGCGCAAGTGAGCAGTTCCGACGAAGAAGGTGTCGCGCTGCACGAAGGTTTTAGCTAGGGTTCGAAAATTTTGCAAAGTTAGGTATGACTGTGACCGATTCTGCTTGCAGATTAATGAGTTACTCATTGCTATTGTTAATAAGTAGAATTAGTTATTAGTCTGAACTGAATGTGTTTCACGGAATCATCTCAATGCTTGCAACTATCGTGCGTATGACAAAACCACATTTGGCTGCTGCGATTTGAAACAATATATGTGCTTAATCCTCATCACCATACTAGAAGCTAGTTTGCTTCTTCTTTTTATATAATCCATACGTTGTGGAGAGGAACCATGTGATTTAGCAGCAACACAAACATAAAGTTACAGATTTTTGTTTACTTCTCTTGTGAGTATTATTGATTAGAAAAAAGGAACAGGACGATGTTTTATCTTTTACAAAATTGCAATTGTAAAATCTCTTCACAAGAGAAATTATTTTATGACTTGGGAAAACTATGATACCCCATTACATGTAATGTAATCTCTCTTCCGATACCATCAAGTCAACTAGTTGGATTTTTAGGAAGACCTTTGACAGAATTTGTAGTTTTCCCCCTTTTTTGTTCTTGAAGTGACATTTTCAGAACTAATTAACATAATAATATGATATCTCCTAAATCATGGAAAACTTGATCCTCGAACTGACAAATCCTAGTGTTCCAATCTCTATGAAACAACTTGAAGCTTGAACCATTGATACTACTACACTAATTAATCCATCGACCTCCAAATATGTCCTTCAACTTGTGCACTTGTTTTCCTTTGATCCTGTTTGTGGGCTTCAAAATGATATATTAGACTCATGTTCTATTGTATTTATATGATGAAAAGAAAAGCGAGAAGAATATTGTGAAAGGAACTTTGCCTCTCAGGTTGTCCCTAGTGACTAAGTGAGGATCATATATTAATTAGGAAGGTAATGATAATGACATAAAATAAGAATAGTGTAGGTTATATTAGAAAGACTTTTTATGTTCTATTGTAACGTTATCACCTTAATTATGCCTAAATTTTGATTGATTTAATGTGCTTATCATGTTGGAATCTCCAATATCCTAAATTTCATCTTGTAGCTATTTTATCTATATGTTACTTAATGGAAACTTGATTTCATTGGAGTTTAAGCTGTTTTAAGTTTCCTGCGTTGTCTTTTAACTGTGATGCTTAAATTTTGGTTACAACTCGTTTAGTAATCTTTTTGCATGTGGTTTCTAAAAGATACATTGTTTAGAATGTAAAATATTTTCACCTTTTATGATTTTTTTGGTGGAAAATCTTTTAACCTTTTACGCTAGCTTCTACATTCCTTTCGGGAAATTTATATCTCCATGCTTAGTCTTTCTTTTTGCTTTTTTTAGTTCTGATGGAAATAAAAACTTACGCTACATCTCAGTGTATGATTTGTGTATATCAGTGTTAAAAAATAAATGTTCATGCTGAGTAATCTAATTTTCAGTTTTTAATCTTTCAGGCACAAGAGTAGGGAGTTGCTAGTGGGTAAATGCAGTGAATCTCGTCTAATATAATACGGAACTTGTCAAGCATCAGCAAATTTGAATGTAAGATATTTTTGTTCTAATCGATCAAAGCTTTAAATGGTCATGAATTTACATAAATACGCCTTTGATTAACTTGGATATAGAGTCTCAATTTAAAAGAGTTATTCTGACGATAGACAAACTTTGTCTTGTATACATTCTGTACAATTTTTTAATGTGATTGGGTCATGTCCTTGTTCTTTTTTATTATTTTTATTTCACACAGAGAAGGAGCTGTTGTTTCCATATTTCTTTGCACTGGTATGTCATGTATGTTGATTATTGATGCCTGTCTCAGTAACTTGATGGAGAGTTCTGAAGAAGAAAAAGATGCTGTTTCTGGGGCTCATGCTATACCCTTGGAATTGAGCCGTTTAGCATCTAATGGTGCAAATTTGTAGATGAAGTTTTAATGGTCATAATCAACGCTGTATGGAAAACTTTCGCATGGATAAGCATGTTTTTTATAAGTTGTGTGATATTTTGCAAGCCAAGGGCTTACTGCGTCACACAAATCGAATCAAAATTGAGGAGCAACTGGCCATATTTATGTTCATAGTTGGTCATAATCTGAGGACTCGGGCTGTTCAAGAGCTATTCCGTTATTCTGGAGAAACCATCAGTCGTCACTTCAACAATGTTTTGAATGCAATAATGTCAATTTCGCTCGATTTTTTTAAGCCTCCAGGCTCCGAGGTTCCTTCAGAAATTGTTGAAGATCCTAGGTTCTACCCATATTTTAAGGTATGATTTCTTTTACTGAATTGACCTTGCTTCCTGATGATCCAATATCACTTTTTGAATATTTTTTAAAATAGGATTGTGTGGGAGCAGTTGATGGTATACACATGCCGGTGATGGTTGGTGTAGACGAGCATGGACCTTTCCGCAATAAGAATGGTTTACTTTCACAACATGTTCTGGCAGCTTGCTCGTTTGACCTCAAGTTCCATTATGTTTTGGCTGGCTGGGAAGGATCTGCTTCTGATTTGCAAGTTTTTAATTCAGCAATCACAAGGCGGAATAGGTTACAGGTCCCTGAAGGTAAAATTGTCTTTAAAATGTTGACATGATTTAGGTAGTGATGCTGGCTATAATGACATAATGGAATCTTATCTCTCGCCAATTTGAATGGTCAACTGTTATACACGTATTCTGGGTAGAAGAGGTTTTGTTTATGTGATTTCTTTATGGCTAATGGTTTTTACTTCGCATGCTAGAAAAGTGAAGGTTATCATGATACAGGCAAATTCTACCTTGTAGACGACAAGTATCCAAACGTGCCAGGCTTTGTTGCTCCTTACTCAGATATTCCCTACCACTCTAGGGAGTTTCCCAGCGGTTATCACCCACAGGATGAAAGAGAATTGTTCAATCTAAGACACTCATTGTTACGAAATGCTACTGATCGGGCTTTTGAGGTATTAAAGGCACGATTTCCTATATTGATGGCGGTTCCTCCCTACCCATTGCAAACGCAAGTAAAGCTGGTAGTGGCAGCATGCGCGTTACACAATTATATCCGCACGGAGAAACCAGATGATTGGCTTTTCAAAATGTATGAACAGAATGTTTCACTTCAAATGGAAGAATCGCTGCCTCCAATAGAGGTTGAACAACCAAAGTCAGATATTGATATGCAGTCTCTGGAAGACACTTTTGATGCAGAGCAACTTGAACTTGCTGCGCAGTTAAGGGACTCTATTGCAGCTGAAATGTGGAATAATTTTATCCATTCCATGTCTCCTAGTTAATGTCTTTTGCATCATTTTGTTAGGCTAGGTTTGAAATTTACTTAGGGTGCACAGAAGATGAAAGGATTTTGATTTTGAGAGTCATATTGACATTGGCATCATTTTGGTCATACGATAGGTGTAGTGGGAAATTACATTTACTTTATAGCTTCACCGATTGCTTTTAGAAGATGGATTATGGTAATCAATTCAGGGGCAAAGTATCAATTTTTCCGGTGCTTGCTTATGTATGATCACTGGAAGAATGAAAAATCTGTGTATTACTACTATGTTGATCAAAAGACATGGGATTCAGTTTGGCTGATTGAGCCCTAAATCTGAACCGTACAAATTAAAATTGGACATCCAGATTTAATGTAGTTTAGTTTAAATATTTTAATACTTCCAAAGATATAATGGAGTTCTTTTTTTCCAAATTGGAAATCTCTTGAAATTCGCCCTTTAATTTAAGCTTTTACTTACTATTTTCCTCAGCACTCTTTGTGGAGAGTCATAGGGTTAAGGAAGAATATCAAATTAACAATAGGGCATTTTAATGTTAATTTTTAATACTTAGATTATCATCCAATATGATTACATTTTTTGGATGTTAATAATTGTAGGGAAAAAAAACTTTCACACCCGCGGGAAAACCTTCTCCAATGATTCTACATTAAATCACATAAATGATTTTAACAATCACGTCGATTATAATAAATTAAGAGTAACCCCCTATAATAGATAACTAAATGATTTTATTTAGGCAAAATTATGCTATAGGACCAAAATCACAAGTTTTTCTAAGACATCGCAAATTTTGAAATTACTTCTGAAAGAGGTCCTTCTCTGCAAAACAAAAAAAGTGATGGTTGGATTGCCTTTTTTTTTTTTTTTTTATGCAAAGGAAACGAAGCAAGTCTCTGAATAGTAAATTAATATAATATTGTATTTAAATTTGTAAATTCTTCGGCAAAAACGATTTATAGAATTTAACACTTGAAGGACGCAAATTTATAATCCGTGTACGAAAATTTACCACCAGTCAGATATCATAAATTTAGCAGTAACAGTTAGGACAATTTAATAATCACAATTTATTTATTTACTTTTGCAGAGTGCCAGGACCTTACCACTTCAGAGTAATTTTAGAAATTTACAGTCCCTTGACATAAATAACTTCTAGTTAGAATAAATTTTCCTTTTGTTTGTCCATTTAAATTATGAAACCGTGTGAAGCACAGGAGTTGGGGCCTACGGCCACAGTAAAATTATTGAAACCATGATTATAAGCGAGTGCATAAACATATCCCCAAAAAAGTAATTATATATAAAACGATGATTTGATTTCTATACAGGAGCTCTTGAAGAATTTCCTGGATTCATAAAACATCATTATTGATCACCAAAAAAAATGATTAAAGTCAATTTACTCACAATGTAAAATGAGTGCATTAAAATGTGGGCACATCACATCAGAAAAATTTGAGTAAAACTCAAATTACCCAAATAATTTAGAACAATAAAAACAGAAATCCAATAACACAATAAAAAATTAACAGACAGTCAGAAGGTGAAAGGTCCACATGTAACGAAGCTTTCTGCAAACTCGTGCCTTCTTTAAGCAATTCACAGAAAAAAAGGTGTGAATATAGAACAAGAAATCCAGACAAGTCCTTGTTGTGCTCGGAGAATTACAATGAGATTTGAAAAAAGAAATAATTATTAAAAAGTTTCAATAACATTTAAATAGTTTGTAATAACAAGTTTTAGAATAAAAATTATATTTTTTGTGATTTATTTTATAATTTTTTTTGAGATTTTATTACAATTTTTCCTATTATTTTTCTTGTGTCAGCAGGGAAGGTGACATGTTTTAGCAATGCTAGGCATTTACGCAATTGATTTAATATCCACAGACCAAAGCCTGAAACTGCAGCGCTCCAATTCAGTACTCAGTACTAACGTATGGTCAAGCGAAGACGCCTCAATTCCTCATTGAAGCAATCTCTTTCTGCAAGATAGCATCAACCGATGTACTAAAATTCTTGATGATTGTATTCCCAAAAACCCAAAAAAAAAAAAAAAAAAATCTTGATGATAGCCAAATAGCCAATACCATGAAACCTCTCTTAAGTTGCCCTTTTATTTTTAAAAAATTGTAACTCAAATGTCATTTGGGTGTGGCTGAACTAGAATCATAATTAAAATAATATAATCTCATTAAAATACATAAAAATATTTATATGTAATCCTACAAAGAATAATATTCAAGTAAAAAGATATTAATTTACAAGTAAATAAAATATTCATATGTAAACTATATAAAATTTAATAAAATAGTTTTTGAAGTATAAATATGATAAATTATTCTTTAAAAAAAGTCAAAATAATATCGTTTCGAGATCAATAAATTAAAAAATATAAAACTGTTTCCTGCAAAAATATTTTACAGTTACATTCCCCATTTTTTGTATGGGTGCTTGAGATGTTTTAAAAGTATTTTAAAAAAGAAATTTTAAATAAATTTGGATAAAACTCTATTTCAAATTTCGTAAAATTATTTTTAAAATTAAAATTTGATTTTCATCCAATATATATATATATATATATATATTTTTTATCTGGCTCACGTATAGCACTTGGCAGCTCTCAGGTCAGCCATCTCACACACGCAATTGGTGTTCTTTCCTTGGGACCATCAGGCGGCATGTTCTGATACACTTGGCGAAGGAATCAACTTCAAGAACAAAACAAGGTGCTTTTTTTTTTTTTTTTCTCTTAAGAAAAACTACTTTTAGGGGTGTTTGGATGAAACCATATCATGGTTTCAGAAATGATTTTACGGTTTACGAGATAAAATGTGAAAGAATTTATCTCGATTTGCAAAAAAGTATTTTTGAGAAGCACTTTTCAAGGTATCCAAACACCCCCTTAGAAGTAGATACCACTCTATTACTTATTATAGGTCACTTGTATCTCCAAAATTTGTTTCAAAATAGGGAAAACCATATTGGAGGTACCTATACTTTCTCTCAATTTTTAATTGGGTACCTATGTGTTTTTTTCCCTTTAATTAAACATTTAATTTTATCTTTTTAGCAACATTAGCTCTTATAACTTTATTTTATTGATATTTTTAGTCTTTACATAAGGATTAATGATATTAATAGAGCAAAATTAAAGATTTAATTAAGAACAAAAAAACATATAGGTACCAAATTGAAAATTGAGAGAAAGTATAGGTACCTCTAATATGATTTTCCCTTCAAAATATAAATCATTTGTAGTATAATTAATGATCTTTTTCTAATTTTACCCCTATTAATTTAATAAAAAATTAATTAATCTCTCCATCTCTCTCTCAGCTTTTCATTTCCTATGCAATCCATCCCCTCATTCTCTCTCTCTCTCAACTTTTACTAAAGATAAATATGAAAAAAAAACTAGTTAATTTAATATATTTCTTGATTTGCGGGTTTAGAATACAAGTAACTTATAATAAAGAATAGAGTGGTAGATCATTTCAATTACTTATCATGACTATTAAATGGAATTTGACAACAGATAGATTTAATCATTTTTTAAAAAATATACATTAATTTGGACCAATAAAAATTAATTTGAACGTTTCAAAATTGTAGTGAAGCATGATAGAGGGGGGAAAAACCAAGCATCTAATTTTAAGCTAATTACTTCACTTGGAGGTTGAATACTTTTAGCCTCTGGGTTTTCTGTTGTCTTTAAACTTTTTAGGGCAAGAGACTCATTTATTATTCCAGCTTTTGATTAATTTGTATGCATTAAATCCTGAATTGTTAAAAAAAAAAAATCTTCCCGCCCGGCCCCTTTCATCCATAGTTCTCAAACTCATCAAGTTTACTTAAAAAGATACACACAGACACACACATATATAAAGTCCTTTTTTGTTTAATTTTGAGCTATGAACTTCAAAACATTCTCAAAGTTGGCTTTTTTCCTCTAAGAACAGTACCATCATCTCTAGTGATTTAATTGAGGAAATAGTGAACTTTGAACTTTCTATTGGACATGAATGACTGCTCTTCGTGGTTGAAACTTTTTCACATGAATTTGCATAGCCACCATGAACTGTAAAGTTAGAGAGAGCCCACAAGTCCCACAAGCGTACCTAAAAGCAAGCATGACCAATTAAGTGCACTGTTAGTTTCTTTACTTTAGATGTAATTTGCACCTTTTAGGTTGATAACACAGTATCCAATTCACAGAATTCCAAGACTTCTCAATTAGGTGAACATTAAGGTACAATGTTGTTGCCTGACAAGATTCCTTATGTTCCAAGTGAAAAAATAGCATGATTCAGGGACACTAAGCTTCCTTTTTATTAAAATTGTAGCCATGTGAGTTCTTAGCAATAAATCAATTCCCATTCTTTATTTGAATTCCCAAGAAAGTATGAGATATTTAAATAACGGGGGAAATATCAGTAGAGATTGGATCAAGAGAAAAAGATTTGGTGTTTCTTAAATAAGATTATAAATTTTGAATAATTGTTGCAGTTGAATCAAATAATGTTTTAATTCGGTCTAATAATACGAAATATTCACTCCACTGTATATACTACCTCCGATCTTTAATATAAGACCTTGTTTGACTTTTATTTTGATCCTAAATATAAGACCCCAATTTACTTTGTCTTTCATATTTATGTATTTTTTTTCAAGATAATCCTTCTAACAATGATAGTTCTAACCAATATACTTGATTAGTAAAGATATTTTAGGAAAGATAACATATATTTATTACAAATAACTAACTTAACTTCTTTCTCTAGTCTCATCAAATTAGTCAACTAACTCTTATAATTAAGACCGGAGGTAATATAAGACACAAATAAGCGAATTATACAGATTAAAAATTAATTAAATTTGATTAAAGACAATAAATATGTTGCACATATATTTTACTTTTTTAAAAAATATTATTATTTATAGAAAGAGAAGAAGAAGAAAAATGAGTAAGTATTAAAAAAAAAGTAGGTAATAGCAATACAATATGTAATGGAACTATCAAAGGGTGCCAATATTTAAAAAGAAAAAATCGGTTAAAACTTCAGACATTCTTTAAGTATATCTTATATATAAGATCATGCATGCTCCAAAAACTATCTTATAAAAAGAACATGTTAAAATAAATAGATAGCTGCTTTTGAAAAATAACCCCAAAAAAAAAAGGGTTGAGTAGTTGTGTAAGAAATTATTTTTACTAATTTAACAATAAAATTGATTTTAAAATCCTTAAGTCATCCAAATGATTGCCTCACGTATTCCAACCTTTCCCCACTTTCCATCTCGCATTTTGCCCCATCTACCCATACTATAATTGTATTTGGTTACGACATTACATCATGTGGGATAGCTCATCTGCTCTCAATCAATCTTTGCCTTTAATTAAAATTTTGAGGGCATTCATTCTTCATTGCTTCATTCTCACTGGACCCATAATTGACATATCATTATAGCAGCATTTTATTCACCAAGCATGTCATGATACCTATAATTTTTTTGATCGACAGTCATAATGCCTATAATTAAAAAGAAGAAATTTTTGTAAAATTAGATATCATTATCTTAATTATTGTTGTAATAAATTAAAATGGAAAAATTGAAAAAACAAAAAGGGACTGTATGTATGAGCTTTAACAATAATCGAATTGCAAACAACAACATAATTTTAGCAAAATACTTGGTTTGCTGTTCTCAATTTTCATGGCTTTTTTTTTCCCTTCAATTTTTTCAATTAAAATTGTTTATTTGTTAAATTTCATGTCTATATAAATTTGACAGCATTTTACATTTGCTGTTGAGGGTCTAAAGCACCCCTCCTTATTCATCTGAGCATGGAATTAGCTCTAGAGCGTGGACAGAGTTAATAATCTATCTAACTAAAAGGCTTGATTGTTGATAGAATATAATGATATCGTATAATCCATATAGCTGATCCCATCTAATGAGAGAATGATTGGTGGTGTTGTTATTTGTTAAATTGTTAATAACTTGACATCACTCCCTTTTTTTTGTTTTTTCGGTTTTAAATTAGGGCATTTAGGTAGTTCTACTATAAAATTCAATTGTGAACTAGTTCGTAAAAACTTTACATGATCAGGCATTTTGGGATATTGAATTGATATTTTAAAATTTTAAGGGTATCTTTGATCTTTTTCTTATTTTTTTAAAAACAATATCTTTAAAAAATTGGCCAAGGGATGCCCATAATAAAATAGCAAGTCTCATGACTCGATAGGACGAGCCTGAAAAAGATCATGTGGAAATAAAGGCTATATTATCCTAACCCAATCATGCTTATCTTTTAAGATTGGAAGGTTAACTCTTAAGATTTATCCTCTTTTAACTGTCTTAATTCACACGCAATTTCCTTCATTTTTCCAATTATATGGACTTATCGTCCTTACACCCATACAGAAAACTATGTTTTAATCTTTTGGTAATTATTTTATTTATTTGGCAACTTAATAATCCAATTAAATCAAACTAATCCCTCCAGAGCATTACAAGTTACAGACGGCCTGTAAGCAATGCTTATGTTATTCAAAGTCTAAAATGATAACAGCCCAGAAAAATGAGGTTCAACCGTATCTAGAGATTTTAAGTACCCCTCTAATCTTTTTAAAGGCTCACAAAAATTGGTTTAAATATAAATTTTTATAATAAAAACAATATTCTAGCTATTAATAAATAGTACTAAATAACAATAATTTATAATAAAAATAATAAATTTAAAATATACTATCTAAACATTACATTTACTATTTTTGCAACAACAGAATCTGATATAATCAAGATGCGGACCTTTTAATACAATTCATTGGAATTTGAAAAGAATTAGGGATGATAGAGATCTCTAAATTAAGGTAAAGTAATCTAAGGCTATGATATTATATACTCAACAAGATGCTTAACCATGATGGCTCTCTTACATCATTTTTTTTTTTTTGACACCTCTTACATCAAAATCCAACTTTAGTGATTCCTTACTTAATTTGGGAGAGCCTTTTTAAATTTTCATCCCATTTCATTAACGGAGTAAATTTCAAACAAAGCCTAACACCTGTTAAAAGTAAATTATTTTTCTGAAGTATTATCAATAACATACATTATTTTACAGAAATATTTACTTGGATTCTTAATCTAAAAGTTATCTAAATAATTTATTTTGATTCTAAATATAAAATCTTAATTCTAGACTTATAAATTTTTTAAAGGTATCTCTAACTTTTTGGATCAGACTCTATTGATTATATATATTATTATTATATTAAGAGGTTTCAAATGCAAAAGATTAAAAATGATGTTTATAAGAATTTTAATTTTTAATCATTACAAATTAATTACCTAATTCTTATAATTAGGAGTGAGGTGTGTATGAAATATTTTTAGGGAAAAAAAGGTAAACTGTAGCTTTACACATTTTCTTTTTATTTTTTTTTGGAAAAAAAATCTGCACATGTTATTTTTTGACATCATTTTACCCAGCTGGTTAGCATGAATTCAAACACAATCATCTCTCGTTCTCTCTGTTCCTTACTTCCTCCTCTCTTGCAGGCCATAATAAAGTTTGCCTCAATCACAAAACTCACAGTCCCTACTTCTTTCTTCTTCAAAAACCTCACGAGCAATCCTGTTTGATCTCTCAACCATACGCAAAAATGCTAGATCCAGCTACTGAATTGATGCCTGCACCATCTTCACCGACCATCTCGTCCGTTTCCTCCTCCGATCTTGACACTGAGGTAAGTCGATCTCACTTTCCTGATTTCCCCACTTTGTCCTTCTCTTGAATTTATGATTTGATCTTCTTTTCGCTGTGTACAGTCCACGGGGTCATTTTTCCATGATAGAAGCACTACTTTGGGTACTTTGATGGGAGTGAGCTTCCCGGCCATCACATTCAGAGCCCCATCTCAGCACCGAGACCCGCATTCCGCCACCGCTGGATCCGCCGCACCGTTAGGCGGCTCCAGGAGAGGCATCAAGCCTAATAAGAAAAACATGAGAGCAAAGGCGGTGGACGCGGCGGCTGTCGTAGCAGAAAGGCGAAGGAGATGGTGGAGCCTGTGCAGGGACGGCGACGCGAGGCCGGCAGCTTCGCTCGGCGACTTTCTTGAGGTGGAACGGAGATTCGGAGACGGCGAGTTTTACGGTACGGCGGCCGAGCTCGAAGGAATGGTCATGGGTCAGCAGAGGAATAGTGGTCGAGTGTTATTCGCGAACGGTAGAGTTCTCCCACCGGCCACCGACGTCGACGACGGAGCTTCCACGGCAGGAAGTCTTTGCAATAGATTCCCGGTTTCACTCACCGGGATCTGTAGCGGCGGGGCATAATGGATAGGAAGGATAAAGCTCCGAGTTTTGAATTTTCAATCAATTAAAAAAACAAAAAAGAAAAAGAAAATGGTGACTGTTTTGGAGGTTGTTTGGATGATGGTGATTGATGACTAATTAGTAATCAAATTATTTTTCAGTGTGCATTTCATCTTGTGGTTTTGGTTTACAGGCAAAAAGCAAGGTGATGCCTTTTGGGCTCTTTTACTTTCTTCTTTTCCTTTTTGATTTGGGAGTGGTCCATATTATAATCAATCTACAAATGGGTGATTGACATTAATCATGTGTCCCTTTTGGCAAAATTCAAATCAATTACTGATGTAAAAATGGTTTTTAGGGCATCCCTTTGATTGTTGCATCAATCAAACCCACTTACAGGAAATGGAATTTTGTCCTGTGTGTTCATGGACAAATTTGTCTCCCCCACTGTATAACTTCAAACAAAAGATTGATGAATTTTCCAGGAAAAAGGGAATTGAAGGATTGGTTAGAACAGCATCTTTTCTTTCTTACTCAAAAGAACTGTAATTTCAATTTTTCAAATTTAGTAATAGACAGAGCAGTTGCTGTCAAAGTATGATATGTCATGAAGTTCCTTAATTATATATCTTTAGTTGATTTCCTTCATAGTTTTGTAGTTTTCATTGTCGAACTTTAAGCTATGCATTTCTTTTGTCGCTTCTCTTTATTTGAACATTCAAAAATAAGGTTATGTGGCTTTCTTCATGTGTCCTCATCTTCCTCTTGTGTGTTTTGTTTGATTACACAGAAAGAAACAAACAAGGTGGGGGACAACTTCCGAGTTGTACATTCATAGTCTTTCTTTTCTTTTCTTCTTTCTTGATCCAAAATTGGAGAACATTATGAATTGTAAAGTTTCCTATTCCCAGATCCACACAACACGTTAAAATTCCTTTTCTTCGGCAACTTGTGCTCCCCCTTTTGTAATGAAGTTATAAATTAACTATCATTTCAAGACAATAAATATTTAAGCATAGCAGTTCGTGACTCGGAAATTGACTATAATTTTGACATTACGTTCATATTAAGAAAGCCGATATAAATTAAGTACAGCAGAGTTGACGAGAAGCTGTAGAAAATTTTCAGTCAATTTTACAGTCTCGTTCCAAGTAGATTCTACAAGACTTCCACTTGCAATCTTTTAACTTAGAAAATGGCCAAAAAATAAATAAATATATCAACTTGATATTTAGTATTACCGATCTTTAATATAAGACTCTATTTGGCTTTTATTTTGACCCTAAATATAATACCTCAATCCACTTTATCTCTCATATTTATGCATTTTTTTCAAGGTAATCTTTCTAATAATTGTAGTTGTAGCCAATATAGCTGATTAGTAAGGATATTTTAGAAAAGACAACACATACTTATTACAAATAACTAATTTAACTTCTTTCCTTAATCCCTTCAAATTAGTCAACTGGGTCTTATAATTAGGACCGAAGGTAGTATTTATTTTTCCATCATTATTTATTTTACATCATTTGCGAAATTTGCTTTTGCTTACATCATCATCATCATAATTTAAAAAAAAAAAAATCTTCCTCCCATTGTTCTTCAAAGGAACTTGGACTTCTGGCTGTCCTGTTTCTGCTGTGTCTAAACCACTGCAAACAGTTGAGTTTATGAGTTCATTGTATTAGGTGCGATCCAAATTTTGCAAGACTTGTCTCTTCTAATACAATATCTTTTAAGTTATTAAATATAAGAGCTCCAGATTAGCAACCCTTAATGTCAAAGGATCCAAAATACTTAAGCTGACTGCTTTTTGAATCTGTACTGGTGTAATAGAATCTGATGAACTGGACCTCTAAATGGTTCCAAAGTGACTACTGCCCTCCATTCTTTAAAACCCTCTCGTGAAGCTTCTGGTATCGCATCTCAGTTCATAGCTTAAACTTCTAAATAAAATAAACTTTCGACAAGCTTCTACATGACCAAGCATCTTCTCGAAAGCGTTTGGATTCAAAAACAATTGGCAACAGAAGGAGGGAAGCAGCTTTCTTTCTTGTTTTTACTTTTCGGTGTAGATACAGTAAGAATGGGAGTGTATGTAGAGAAGAAAATGCAACAAATATTGAGATCCAGAGGGATTTCCCAGAAATGTGCAGATCCAACGTTGCAACTTTCCTGAATGAAAAACTCCAAATCTATGGAGGTTGCAGAAAAAAAGTATTATATGTATACAAATCTAATATAAACTTACAATATATGTATCAAGAATATCTACTTCCAAGTTCAAGTAATACCAAAACCTAAAAACTTAATGTGCATTAAAACCCCCTCAGGGAATTTCATCAATGGTCTCCAAAGCAGGTCTCCAGGATCCCTGCTTTGAAAAGCTTCTTTTCTCAGCCTTCTCTCCCTCGCAAACCACCTTATAATCATCATCGTCATGACCTTCCAATCTCTCTGCTTCAGAAGGAAACATACAGACAGGAAAAATCTTGCCCAGATTGTTAAACCCTCCATGCTTGAGAGCCCTAGAAGCTTTATAATTCATAGAGCTTATCTCCTCATGTGTGAGAACAGAGTAAAGAAGCTCCATGGGAAGAAGAAAGTAGAACTTTTTCCTCTCAAGCTCTTCATCAGCCAGAAGCCCATGAATCCTATGGCCTACTTTGAGGAAACTAGAGTCACAGACAAACTGCCCAGGATTCTCAAGCATTAATTCTGCAGCCTTCACCGCTCTTGTGTAGGACTCTAGCCTCCCATCTAAGGATAAAACCTTGATTCCCCCATTTGATGTCATCAAGGAAGGTGTACAGGAAGCTGCATTGCCCATATTTCTCAGAAAGAGGCAAAATAGAAAGAGACTAAAGTGGGTTTGTGGTATTGGCCTGGTCAGAGAAAGCAAATGGTGGTGATGAAGCTTCTGTGAATGTGAGGTCCTATATATTCTGGCAAAGCAACCTGTCTGTCGAGAAAAGAAAGATAATTGTTGCTTGTCCTTTTTCTGGCTCATGGATAGTTGGGTAATCTGTTGGCGCATCTTCTTTTGTGTCTTTTTTTAAATTATTATATTAACGTTAATGTTTGTCGTACTCTTAGTGGCATATTTGAAGACCAAAATTTCCCTTCTGGCAGTGGCTTTGTTTTATGCAGCTATACACATTTTAAAAAAAAAAAAGGTCCTCAAGCTAGTTTGGTACAATGCACAATTGATTATTAACGTAACAAAAATAAAAGGATTGATAGATGTCTAGAACACTTGGTTCAATTGGATTGAGAGTCATCCAAATGAGAATTCATGAAACCAAGTATTTCAAATAATGGGATTGATTGAAATATTTATTTATAGATTACTACCTTCGGTTGTAGTTATAAGAGTTAATTGACTAATTTGAGGAGATTAACAAAAGAAGTTAAGTTAATTATTTGTAATAAATGTGTTATTTTTCCTAAAATATCCTTGCTACTCAAATTTATTAGTTAGAACTATCTTGTTGGAAGAACTATTTTAGAAAAAAAAATATAAATATGAGAGACAAAGTAGATTGAGGTTTTATATTTAGGATCAAAATAAAAATCAAACAAAATCTTATATTAAATATCGGAAATGGTATTTTATTAAGTTTTTGGTAGAGATTTTTTTAATATGAAAAGTGGAAGACTTTTATTTAAAAACATACTACCCATATGTCTTTGGTAACCACTGAAGCGTACAGCTTGTGCCCTTTATGCCCACTTAGAAGATCACATCCTATTTCCTATCTTAGGAGGTGAAAAAGGCCAACCTGTCAAACTTGGCCTAATTTAGGACTTGTTGAGATAAAATATTCAGAAAGCAGGGCCTTAGAGTGCAATTTGCCCCTTGAATTTCAAAATTAGTTAAATTGTGTGCAAGAGAGAGAGGGTAAGAAAGTTTCTTTATTGAAATTGTAGTGGTGCACATGGAGAGGGATGGAAGGAAATAAGACTAAGTACGTGAGACGTCACAAAAGGACAGCACCAAACTCATGATTAGATATGGTAGGAAGCAATTTGCTTTGATTTTATTCTATTTGCAAATTAAGGAGGAGGCGTCTTCACTCTTCACCTAATGGCTTGGAATTCTTAGTATTGTAGTACTCCTCCGGTCCTAATTATAAGACCCAATTAACTTATTTGAGGAGATTAAGGAAGTAAGTTAAGTTAGTTATTTATAATAAATAAGTGTTGTTATTCCTAAAATATCCTTGCTAATTAAGTATATTGGCTAAAACTATCATTATTAGAAGGATTATCTTGGAAAAAAATACATAAATATAAGAGAGAAAATGAATTGGGTCTTATAATTAGGACCAAATAAAAAGTCAAATTGGGTCTTATAATAAGGACCGGAGGAGTATTGTCTATTGTAAATAAAAATATATATTTGTGTTGTTGGGAGACGTGAAAGGGCCATCATCATCTTCTCCTCCTTCTTCTCGTTAATGTGGGTGGTGGCAAATGTCAAATCTTTTTCGATTTGGTATTTGGTCGCTATCTGTCACTATCCAATGCTAGCTTGCTCCCATGAATTAGTATTTTATCAAGTTCATGAACTCAGCTTCACTTGACATGTGCTTCGGCGTCAATTTGCCCCCCCTTCAATATTCATCTTTTTAGCGGCGGATTTTATCTTCTGCTTCTGCTTCTACTTCATCAGTTATATTCATTTAGTTAAGATTTTATTCAAATCATTTGCTGCTTCGTTTCTTGTAAGCTGTAACTTAATTAAAAGAGCCCTTCGTTTCTTGCTGCTTCGTTTCTTGTAAGCTGTAACTAAATCTACCTCATTTTAACCTGATGATTTAATATGATATATTCAGATCAAGTTAAGTAGGATCACATTTGATGATAAGGTTCTCCCATGAATTGTTTAATCTAGCATTATAGCCGCATTTCCAAAACTTAAATTAAAACATTTGGTTAAATTGATACAATGTTTTGATATATTATCAAGAACTAAATATAGATACTTCACTAAACAGAATTAGAATTTTAATTCATTAGGAGGGATTAATATCTTATGTTATCACAAACTTTGTTGGTAATATTTTATA